TTCACGTGCCTTGTTGTGTAAGGGTGCACCGGGGGTGTACATATAACACCCTGCCTCATCAGGTGTCAGTCATATTATTCACTTAATTAAGAGCCGCCCTCCCGCTGCGAGCGAGCGGATATTTCTTCTCCCCGAGTGATTTATCATCTCACTCTGCGAGGTGAAATTTCTTCTTTATTTACCGCCTTGCACGCCCAACTTAATGCATATATTGTACCCTGCCCTTAAATTACACCGACTGAGTGAACGCAATTTCAGCCAGACCTAGCTATGTTGGTGCGCGATGAAGAGGAGTCGTTCCGCCGGCTGGTTATATAACAATTTCTTGCAAGCGAAGGGCGGTCGTGCTCCATTAATTGTCACCCCAAAAGCGGTACCTCATATTATACAATAACCTTGTCCATTTCAGACGAGTAGGGGATGAGATTTAATTAAATGATATCATTTCTAGATCCTAAAATTCTAATATACCTCATTGAATTACAGTAAAAACGTGATGTTTTTTTATTGGAATAAGGCAAACAAGTGATCACTTTTTACAACTTTTTATCAGAAAATAATTTGAATAATACTAATGAAGCTTGAAGCCCAGGTAATAGAAATTGAGGTAATCACCTATTTCACTTATTTGAGTTAATAAAAATCAATTTTCTTCTTTTTAAAACTCATCTATTGAAATAAAATATAATTATTTCACCTAAATCACCCATTTTCAGTACAAATTTGAATTAAAAACAAATCATCGAAAGAATGTCCAAACAAAATTTGAAATTTTTCATTAATAAATAATCATATTATTTTAGCCTGATATCACCTATATAATCTGAAAAAAATCACCTCAATTTCCACTTCGCCAAACATAATTGCCCAAGATTTACTTTTTAATCAAAAATATTTTTACATTAAATCCAATCAAAATTTGAGACTGGATTTTCTATTAACTGAAATTAAATATTTAGTAAAAAAATCTCAGCAGATAATCTCACCATAAACACAAAATTAGCTGAAAGATTTAAATAATTCTATCTATTCTATATTTTCAAAATTGACCTGACTCAAATTCCAAAGGGAATGGACGAAATCTGAGAGTTGAGGTCATTGCGGATCAGCAATTGTTTTTATTTCTGGTAACTTTTCTGTTCAAATTAATATGCAAATTTTTTTTGTGAAAACACAGTATGGGAAAATTAAATTTTGAGAACATTTTTACCGATACAAAGATCCTAAAGATTTAAAAATTATCTTCCTTATTTCCGTGACCAGCAAGATCTACCGTTTTGCTTTTATTTTTCCTGTTCAAGATTGGTCGTTCACACAACTATCAAAAGAATCTCGGTCAGTCTTGAGTATTCTCACCGGAGGACACAACAGAAAGATAACCTTGGACATATTTTTTCATCCCCCGAGAATTCCGTCAAGTGAAGGCCATTAACTTTCAATTGTTTGCGGCGTGACGGGTGTGCGGAGGCGCAAACAGGAAAATATGAGATGTTGCACGGCTCGCGTTACCCATTACAAGAGAAGGACAACGTTATTATTTCATCCACACGATTGCGGCCATCTGGGTTTTGTGTTTCTTTAGTTGGTTGGGCATGTGTGTGTGCTAAAGAGTTGTTAGGCGGCGCCGGGGCATTTCTGCCTGACAAAGAGCCATTTCGGAGCTGCTGGTGAGAAAGGGTCATACACATTTATACACTGCTGATAGCCGGGCAATAATGATAATGGCCAGTCCTGCAGCTACAAAGATGGCTCTCCATGCTCTTAGCCAGCCTCGATTTGGCACCCCCGGGGCAGTGAAAAATAAAACGGTAGATAAAAAGCAAATAAAGATAAAGTTTTATAATAAATGTTACTAAAAAATATTCAGTTATAATGACTAACATCAGTGAATTATTTCATGAAGGGATGGGAAATTCCATATTTTGTACAAATAAAGTCAAAATCAGGAGAGTCAAAATTAATTTCCGAAAGTAGCACTAGTAGCATTGCTGTTTAAAAACATTTAGTATTTTTTTATATCCCCCAAACATCAATCAAATATCAAACAATTTGAATGATCTAATTGATTTTAAAGGCAGAAAGTGAATCTTTGTTGAATTTCTGCAGATACGAAGTTTTTGAGTGTGAATTTATTTTAACGTGATTTAAACTCTGGTCTTGGAATTTTGTTGAAATTCAGATAAAAAAAGGTTCAGCGTCAGTCTTAAAAAAAATTGCTTGTAGATGTTTTTTTAGCTTTTTTCTGAAAACATTTTGAGCTTCCTAGATATGTATCCGATTCTCTTAATTAATAATTTAATACACACCTTCAATTTTAGAATTAAAATACAAACTTCATTATTAGTTAACTTTACTTTACATAATCCCTTTTCATTCTGCCCCGAAGCCTCCCACGCCCTTCTGCAGATTTCGCTCACGTTCTCGGGGCCCGGAGCCCGGACATGATGAAGAGCCTGCATGTGCTGTGATCATGGTTTCGCCGGCCGGAGGATTATTATCTGGTATGGCGTTCTCTCACATCAGCACTTAAATACCTGCCGCGCGCCTTGCGAACATGCCGTGCTTTGGTTTTGTTTCGCCTTTCATTCTGGTGTGTTGATCCGAACTTAAAACTGACCGGCGAAGAGCCCAAGGGCGTTCCTCTTCATATAAATTTGCAGGCCCGACGCAGCAAATGGCAAACGAGGAGAATTAGTTGGGTCAATTTGGCCGCAGGCCTTCCAGACAAATACAAATGGCGGTCTGCCCTTACAATTTGCGTTCGAACTTCGTGTATATGAGGAAGAGCACAGCTTTTGGCTTCCGCCGGCTAAACCGACGCTCCTCATTTGAATAGAGAATGGACAAAAACTTGATTAGTCTTCGATTAAAATGTTAAGGTTTTAGCAAAATTATATCAGCAGAGTGTATTTATTGATGAAATGTTATTTATAAAAGCATTATTTGTAACTTATCCATTCGTCATAAATATTCAACTTTTGCCACAGATTATGCAACATTATACCAAAATATCAGCATAAAATAAAGAATTTTGATAAGAAAATTGTAATTAGTTTTGAATTGTTTTTTTTTTTGCAATCTTCTTGGTTGACGGTCACTTTTGACCTCAGAGATCGACTAAATTTTTAAGTTGGTTGTAATAAATATAATTACAAATTTGAAATCCAATCTTAAAAATAAAAAATAAGCAATAATGATTCCTGATTTAAAAGTTATTCACAGCTATAATTAATTTAAATGATACTTTTCATCTAATGAAAATAAAAAAAGACAATTAATGAAATGAAAACGATAAAAAAAATGCAAACATTTCGCAAATGCAATAATGGATTGCTTTTTTAAGCTCTTGCGAGACCGCAATTTCGCAAGTAATAAAAAAAATGAAAAAGGCCGTGCGGAAATTAATTAAAATTCTGGCCTCCGCGGGGAGCGGTGGAGACAAAAACAAACATATAAAATACGAAACGTGGTTACACGCCGGGGAAGAAAATCGATAGCCGGCCAAGTTGCAGGGCGCCAAATTCATACGGGAGAGAAAGAGAAATAGTGAGAGGCTGGACGGACACGTCGCGAGGGCAGGCCGCAGGCGCACTTTTATTAGCCCTAATTTTATGAGCCATGAAACATTTTTTTGCGGGAGATCAGGCAACAGTTCATCAGCGCTTCCTTCCGGCCCGCGGGCCTTTTTTCGTCCACGCGTATCACTGGAATAGGAGGACGAAATCAGCGAATAAAACAGCACTAAAGCGATCGTTGGATTATACTGCCTGGAATTAATCTGCCAAGGGCATGTCCTGCCGCGACAAACGCAGCGTTTATCTCTCTCTATCTTTATGTGTGCGTCGGCGCCGCTACTTTTTATTGCCGTTACCTGCCTGCAGGCTGTAATTACGACAGCGGTAATTCCTAGATAATTCCCGTGTTTCGGGTTTAAATTCAGTAATGCCTTTTCTACTTTGTGAGAAGTTTTTAAATTATCCTGAATAAATTACGTCCGAAGATTATAAAGGCTTACTTAGATGAAATTAAGATAAATTTTTAAAATAATTTAATGCAAAATATTTTTTAAATTGAATGGTAACACTTGAAGTGGATTTCATAAAAATTGAAACCGGGCAAAGAAAAAAGTGAATAAATAAAGGACAACTGACCCCAAAAGGCGATGCGGTCTGCTGGTTCTTTAAAAACCTAGGGTTTTGTCGTGTCCCAACTAAAGCTAAGTGGGAGGAAGTCATAAAAAATTAAAAATTAAATAGGGAGAATTAAATTTTAATAACCAAAATTTCAGAATTAATTAAGCAAAGGAGTCCGTCAAAAGTTTCATACTGTAACTTTGCCAGAAATTTCCAGGGCAATGAACCCAAAGATATTCCTGACAAAATCACATTAATCTGCCGCCGGAATAATTTTGCTAAAACTTCCAGTTTCAAAATTACACCATCCGCTTCAGTGAGCAACTTAGTTTTTGTTATATTTCATTATCTTTTTGTATTCATCGAATTTTAATCATTTGAGTGCCTCAAAATTCCTGCTTACAAAATTGAAAACAAATTAAATATAAAAATAAAATTAATGAACTATTGTTTACAAAACAAAAATTATTTTTTATGATTTAAGAGAGGAAAAACTCATTTATGAAGGAAAATTCCCATATACTTGAATCGTTTTTCCTAACGCGGGCGTTCAATGTTAAATTCATTTCCAAGAAGTTCTCATGCAACTAGAAACAATTCTGAATTCGCTCACTTCACGTCGTAAAACCTTTTTGCGCAACGATTGCAGCTACAACAAAACAACAAGGCTCATAACACTAGCAAGCGAATAATCCATTTTGAAGCAGCGCACTTGGCGTCGCCATTTCCTCAATAAAATTCAACGGCGAAACTTTCTTTTCTCTTACACTCGATCGAAGTAATCCATTGAAACTTATATTCTTGCGCCTCAATTTAATTTATGTGTGCATCTGATATTTACGTGTGCAAATTGGTTTGGCATTTCAGCTGTCGTACGCGGACACGCACCCGATGTTCACGGCGGACAACTTTCCCAACTTCTTCCGGATCGTGCCGAGCGAGAACGCGTTCAACGCGCCGCGCCTGCGGCTCCTCGAGGCCTTCAACTGGACCAGGGTGGGCACCATCTACCAGAACGAGCCGCGCTACTCCTTGGTGAGTGATCCCATTTATTTATTCCGCCGTCTGCCTTAATCGACCTCGCAGGGACAATTGCCGGCGAAAACGCGCGCGTTTGTTTCACTCCGCCCGCGTGAATTATTCCTGCACGCTGAAAACTAAAACCGTCTCCGTCGTATTAGTGCTGCCGACAGCAGCCAGACAACTCGCTCCATTGGGATGCATACTCATTTTTCAACACCCTTATCTGCTCTTGCAGTTTGTCTCTCCTGCAGATTTTATTTGAGGTGTAAATTTGATATTCTTACACTTAGACTAGTTGCTGAAAAAACTAGATTTTTTTTTAATTCACTCCAGTTCATCTGGCAAAGGGTCTTGGTGAATTATTTGTTCATTGTAAATTGTAGCATAATTTGGAGACTAAAAGCAAATTCGTATTTGAAATTTGAACTAAAAAGTGAGTTTTTTAAAAGGTTTTTTTGCAGAATTTATCGTTATATTTCATATAAATTAATAATTAATTTTTTATATTTTATAATTATTAATTTCATATTCATCATCAAGCCGAGTTTTTTCGATTTGCTCTTATTTTCCGCAGAACCTTGAATTTATTAAAAATTGAGAAAACAGTCGAAGCAATCAAAGCATTGCTCAAAGCACTTCAAAATCTAGAAAAAAGCTTTTAAATGAAATGAAAGAGCAGCCTTATCACTTAATTTTACGCAACGCAAGCTGAGATTTTTTGTTTCGCTCTTATTTTCCGCAGATCTGTGAATTTATTAAAAATTGAGAAAACAGTCGAGGTAATCAAAGCCTTGCTCAAAGCACTTTAATATATAGGAAAAAAGCTTTAAAATGAAATGAAAGTGCAACCTTAACACTTAATTTTACGCAACGCAAGCTGAGTTTTTTATTTCGCTCTTATTTTCCGCAGAACCTTGAATTTTTTTAAATTGAGAAAACGGTCAAAGCAATCAAAGCATTGCTCAAAGCACTTTAAAATCTAGAAAAAAAGCTTTAAAATCAAATGAAAGAGCAGCCTTAACACTTCAGTTTACGCAACGCAAGCTGAGTTTTTTTGTTTCGCTCTTATTTCCTGCAGATCCGTGAATTTATTAATAAATATTTTATTTAACATTGAATGTACACGAATGTAGACAATGTATTTGTAACAATGTGGACAAATAAACAACAATATTAATTTCATCCAAAAGATTCATGGTCATATTCAGCCTGTATAGCATTTCAGGTGTGAAAAAGAGCCTGAAGTCACAGTGCCAGCAACAGCTAGGTCTGGCTGTCATAGGTGTGTGTGTGTCAGGTTTTGGTCCGTCATTTGTATGGCCGGCTCGGACCGCCATTGTGCGGCCAATTTACTTTGCGCCAAGAATGAAACATGGCTCCCCATTTTCTGGTATCCAAGAGCTGTCGGCCGCAGCCGAGAGAAGTGACTGACTTTTTGAAAGGGCTGTGCTCCGACACCTGCACCGTTCCCACGGAGAGCACAGCAAATTATTTGCGGCAAACATATCACGAGAGTGTCTGCCGCATTGTCACGGAATGCGAGAGAAAACACTTGCCTTTTGAGACATATAGATGGGAGTTTGCCAACGCCAGAACAAGCGCAGAACTGCAAGCTTTCCGAGCAAGTATGAATCGAAAGGATGAAAAAAAAAATATAAATCAGAGGTGGAATTTTAGTATTTCAGTCTAATTTAATTTTAATCGAGAATAATTAGAAATATTTTTGAAAAAGGTCTTTGTGAAAACAAAAAAAATTATAACGTTCACTAAGATTATTATTGTTGTTTATTTGTCAAAATTGTTGCATCACATTTTTTACATTCAAATTGTTGAAAACAATTTATTTGAAATATGAAAAGATATGAATAGGGCTGAGCGTTTTAGTCGATCAACAATTTTTTTCTGATCTTCGCAGGATGTTAGGGTTATGAAAGGAGCACGAATCATGCAATTTCGAGTCAATTAAGCTAGGGTCAAAATCGACTAAAACCGACTAATTGGACAAAAATCGACTATTTCGACTAAAAACAGACTAAAACCGACTAAAATAGCTAAAAAGTCAAATTTTTTTAAATTTGAGCTCAAAGTGAAAAAAAAAATGGTTTTTGGCAACCATCTAAAAATCTCGGAGCGATCATTTAGATAATTTCTAACTATATTTTTTGACAAATTTTTTTCTACCCCTCACCCCTGGAGGCTGGAACCCTGGCACACCCTTGCGACTGTCGTGACAGAAAAAAAATGTTTTTTAGCAACCATCTAAAAATCTTGTACAGACCATTTGAATCATTTCTAGCTAACTTTTTTTGAATCATTTTTTTTACCCCACACCCCTGGAACCCTGGCCCACCCTTGTGACGGTCGTGACTGAAAAAAAATTTTTTTTAGCTACCATCTAAAAATTTCGGACAGACCATTTGGATCATTTCTAGCTAACTTTTTTGAAACATTTATTTTTACCCCACACCCCTGGAACCTTGGCACACCCTTGCTTTGATGGTCCCGACTCCCGACAGAAAAAAAATGTTTTTTAGCAACCATCTAAAAATCTTTTTCAGACCATTTGAATCATTTCTAGCTAATTTTTTTTTACCCCACACCCCTCAAAGTATTGAAATATTGAGATCTCAGTCAAAGTATAGCTCGTAATGCTTCTAAATCTAGAAAAAAAGCTTTAAAAAAGTGTGAAAGAGCAGCCTTAACTCTTAATTTTACGGCACAATAGCTGAGAGTTTGTGCTCCGCTCGTATTTAGCACCAAACATGGTATTATTGAAATGTTGAGATCTCAGTCAAAGTATAGCTCGTACTGCTTCTAAATCTAGAAAAAAAGCTTTTTAATAGTGTGAAAGAGCAGCGTTAACTCTTAATTTTACGGCACAATTGCCGAGTTTGTGCTCCGCTTGTATTTAGCACCAAACATGGTATTATTGAAATGTTGAGATCTCAGTCAAAGTATAGCTCGTACTGCTTCTAAATCTAGAAAAAAAGCTTTAAAATAGTGTGAAAGAGCAGCGTTAACTCTTAATTTTACGGCACAATTGCCGAGTTTGTGCTCCGCTCGTATTTAGCACCAAACATGGTATTATTGAAATGTTGAGATCTCAGTCAAAGTATAGCTCGTACTGCTTCTAAATCTAGAAAAAAAGCTTTAAAATAGTGTGAAAGAGCAGCGTTAACTCTTAATTTTACGGCACAATTGCCGAGTTTGTGCTCCGCTCGTATTTAGCACCAAACATGGTATTATTGAAATGTTGAGATCTCAGTCAAAGTATAGCTCGTACTGCTTCTAAATCTAGAAAAAAAGCTTTAAAATGGTGTGAAAGAGCAGCGTTAACTCTTAATATTACGGCACAATTGCCGAGTTTGTGCTCCGCTCGTATTTAGCACCAAACATGGTATTATTGAAATGTTGAGATCTCAGTCAAAGTATAGCTCGTACTGCTTCTAAATCTAGAAAAAAAGCTTTATAATAGTGTGAAAGAGCAGCGTTAACTCTTAATTTTACGGCACAATTGCCGAGTTTGTGCTCCGCTCGTATTTAGCACCAAACATGGTATTATTGAAATGTTGAGATCTCAGTCAAAGTATAGCTCGTACTGCTTCTAAATCTAGAAAAAAAGCTTTAAAATAGTGTGAAAGAGCAGCGTTAACTCTTAATTTTACGGCACAATTGCCGAGTTTGTGCTCCGCTCGTATTTAGCACCAAACATGGTATTATTGAAATGTTGAGATCTCAGTCAAAGTATAGCTTGTACTGCTTCTAAATCTAGAAAAAAAGCTTTAAAATAGTGTGAAAGAGCAGCGTTAACTCTTAATTTTACGGCACAATTGCCGAGTTTGTGCTCCGCTCGTATTTAGCACCAAACATGGTATTATTGAAATGTTGAGATCTCAGTCAAAGTATAGCTCGTACTGCTTCTAAATCTAGAAAAAAAGCTTTAAAATAGTGTGAAAGAGCAGCGTTAACTCTTAATTTTACGGCACAATTGCCGAGTTTGTGCTCCGCTCGTATTTAGCACCAAACATGGTATTATTGAAATGTTGAGATCTCAGTCAAAGTATAGCTCGTACTGCTTCTAAATCTAGAAAAAAAGCTTTAAAATGGTGTGAAAGAGCAGCGTTAACTCTTAATATTACGGCACAATTGCCGAGTTTGTGCTCCGCTCGTATTTAGCACCAAACATGGTATTATTGAAATGTTGAGATCTCAGTCAAAGTATAGCTCGTACTGCTTCTAAATCTAGAAAAAAAGCTTTATAATAGTGTGAAAGAGCAGCGTTAACTCTTAATTTTACGGCACAATTGCCGAGTTTGTGCTCCGCTTGTATTTAGCACCAAACATGGTATTATTGAAATGTTGAGATCTCAGTCAAAGTATAGCTCGAACTGCTTCTAAATCTAGAAAAAAAGCTTTAAAATAGTGTGAAAGAGCAGCGTTAACTCTTAATTTTACGGCACAATTGCCGAGTTTGTGCTCCGCTCGTATTTAGCACCAAACATGTTATTATTGAAATGTTGAGATCTCAGTCAAAGTATAGCTCGTACTGCTTCTAAATCTAGAAAAAAAGCTTTAAAATAGTGTGAAAGAGCAGCGTTAACTCTTAATTTTACGGCACAATTGCCGAGTTTGTGCTCTGCTCGTATTTAGCACCAAACATGGTATTATTGAAATGTTGAGATCTCAGTCAAAGTATAGCTCGTACTGCTTCTAAATCTAGAAAAAAAGCTTTATAATAGTGTGAAAGAGCAGCGTTAACTCTTAATTTTACGGCACAATTGCCGAGTTTGTGCTCCGCTTGTATTTAGCACCAAACATGGTATTATTGAAATGTTGAGATCTCAGTCAAAGTATAGCTCGAACTGCTTCTAAATCTAGAAAAAAAGCTTTAAAATAGTGTGAAAGAGCAGCGTTAACTCTTAATTTTACGGCACAATTGCCGAGTTTGTGCTCTGCTCGTATTTAGCACCAAACATGGTATTATTGAAATGTTGAGATCTCAGTCAAAGTATAGCTCGTACTGCTTCTAAATCTAGAAAAAAAGCTTTATAATAGTGTGAAAGAGCAGCGTTAACTCTTAATTTTACGGCACAATTGCCGAGTTTGTGCTCCGCTTGTATTTAGCACCAAACATGGTATTATTGAAATGTTGAGATCTCAGTCAAAGTATAGCTCGAACTGCTTCTAAATCTAGAAAAAAAGCTTTAAAATAGTGTGAAAGAGCAGCGTTAACTCTTAATTTTACGGCACAATTGCCGAGTTTGTGCTCTGCTCGTATTTAGCACCAAACATGGTATTATTGAAATGTTGAGATCTCAGTCAAAGTATAGCTCGTACTGCTTCTAAATCTAGAAAAAAAGCTTTATAATAGTGTGAAAGAGCAGCGTTAACTCTTAATTTTACGGCACAATTGCCGAGTTTGTGCTCCGCTCGTATTTAGCACCAAACATGGTATTATTGAAATGTTGAGATCTCAGTCAAAGTATAGCTCGTACTGCTTCTAAAACTAGAAAAAAAGCTTTATAATAGTGTGAAAGAGAAGCCTTAACTCTTAATTTTACTGCACAATAGCTGAGAGTTTGTGCTCCGCTCGTATTTAGCACCAAACATGGTATTATTGAAATGTTGAGATCTCAGTCAAAGTATAGCTCGTACTGCTTCTAAATGTAGAAAAAAAGCTTTATAATTGTGTGAAAGAGCAGCCTTAGCTCTTAATTTTACGGCACAATTGCCGAGTTTGTGCTCCGCTCGTATTTAGCACCAAACATGGTATTATTGAAATGTTGAGATCTCAGTCAAAGTATAGCTCGTACTGCTTCTAAATCTAGAAAAAAAGCTTTAAAATAGTGTGAAAGAGCAGCGTTAACTCTTAATTTTACGGCACAATTGCCGAGTTTGTGCTCCGCTCGTATTTAGCACCAAACATGGTATTATTGAAATGTTGAGATCTCAGTCAAAGTATAGCTCGTACTGCTTCTAAATCTAGAAAAAAAGCTTTATAATAGTGTGAAAGAGCAGCGTTAACTCTTAATTTTACGGCACAATTGCCGAGTTTGTGCTCCGCTCGTATTTAGCACCAAACATGGTATTATTGAAATGTTGAGATCTCAGTCAAAGTATAGCTCGTACTGCTTCTAAATCTAGAAAAAAAGCTTTAAAATAGTGTGAAAGAGCAGCCTTAGCTCTTAATTTTACGGCACAATTGCCGAGTTTGTGCTCCGCTCGTATTTAGCACCAAACATGGTATTATTGAAATGTTGAGATCTCAGTCAAAGTATAGCTCGTACTGCTTCTAAATCTAGAAAAAAAGCTTTAAAATAGTGTGAAAGAGCAGCCTTAGCTCTTAATTTTACGGCACAATTGCCGAGTTTGTGCTCCGCTCGTATTTAACACCAAACATGGTATTATTGAAATGTTGAGATCTCAGTCAAAGTATAGCTCGTACTGCTTCTAAATCTAGAAAAAAAGCTTTAAAATAGTGTGAAAGAGCAGCCTTAGCTCTTAATTTTACGGCACAATTGCCGAGTTTGTGCTCCGCTCGTATTTAACACCAAACATGGTATTATTGAAATGTTGAGATCTCAGTCAAAGTATAGCTCGTACTGCTTCTAAATCTAGAAAAAAAGCTTTAAAATAGTGTGAAAGAGCAGCCTTAGCTCTTAATTTTACGGCACAATAGCTGAGAGTTTGTGCTCCGCTCGTATTTAGCATCAAACATGGTATTATTGAAATGTTGAGATCTCAGTCAAAGTATAGCTCGTACTGCTTCTAAATCTAGAAAAAAAGCTTTAAAATAGTGTGAAAGAACAGCCTTAACTCTTAATTTTACGGCACAATTGCTTAGTTTTTTGCTCCGCTCGTATTTAGGCCGAAAATCGACTAAAAAAAGTAGACTATTTTTACCTTAAAAATAGACTAAAACGCTCAGCCCTACATATGAATTGTTGTACAAAACGGCGCCATTGCAGCATAACTTCCAAGATCGAAATGACCCCATTCTCGGTGAGCCTCGGTTGACTTGGTTTTAGTTCTTATCACATAGTTTTTGTGATTTTTTTTTCTCTCGTGATTATGTTCAATAAATTATGATTAATTAATTAAAAAATGGGGTAAAATTAGTAGGTTTTTATTAAGGGGTAATTAATGTGGTTAGAGTTATTGGAAACCCTTCTTTTCAAAAGTTACTAGTTTAATTTTTTCCCGTTTCGAGCGGTTTCTTTGGGTTTTAAATTCTCAGCAAAAGTAAAAAATTTATAAATAAAAATCTTCAATTTCTTGCATGTAATATGATATATTTTAGTAACTTATACATTTTTATTATTTAAATAGTCAGAAAACTTCTGAAATATATCAAAATTCCATTATATATTGCAGGCTCTGCGGCTAATTTAAGTGGATTTATTCCAATGTTTATTTTGGAAAATTGCTTTTTGGCAAAAAATAGTTATCGCTATCCAAAGTTTCCAGAACTGCCCACAGTACATGAAGACTAATGCAAACATGGTTTTCATTGGAAGCTTTCCAATCATTATCAAAAAACATTTTTACAAAAACGTTCACGCAAAGTTCAACCAAAATTTACATTATCATAAAACTATCACGTTGTTTACTAATTTATTCGATCAGGCCCTTTATGCTACTCTCGTTCATTTTCTTTTAATTGAATATTTAAATGAACTGGAAATGAAATAAGAAAAAAATTATTATTTTTATATCGAATTCCTAATTATTTTGGAAATTATTCCCTTCTCTCTCACTACAAATTAACTCCAAATTTACAAAGCAACAATGTTTTTTTATTTTCATTCAAATAAACAGACTAAAGCGTTTTTATACTTTTTGTCCTCGAATTTAGTAGGAAAACAAAGGAACGTAAACAAAATGACACTCTTCGTCATTAATATGGGCCTCGCTCGAAATCGGTTTTGCTCGTCGTTTCCAGCACTTGGCAAACGAAACCTGACACGCATGCAAATAAACCACTCAACGGCGCGAACTGCTGAATATTGCGCACGCCACTTTATTTGCAATCGCAACAAGCGACGAAATTCCATCACATTACTCTCGTGTTGGCGCCGCAAAATGTTCAAAACTCTCTTTTAACGCGCGCGTAGAGAGTGAGCGGGGAAATTAATTTTACTGATGGGCCGTTTGCGCGAGGCTGCGAGCGAGTTTTAAAAGCGTGCACTATCTATTGCCGGCAAACAGCAATAAAACGAACGAAACGAATGAACAATTGTTGTCGGGGTGCCAAGAGGGCTTGTGCATGCACGAGAGCTGTGCCAGCGATAAGGGCCGCGCCGTTTAAATGCAAACACGAGTCGCTCGCCCGCTTGCCGACGGGCCATATTGGTGTGTGGTATTTACAATTCGCACCCAGCAACTCTCGGATGGCATCTTTGGCGCGATAAAACGATGCTCGAGCACGCCATTATCCGGCCAGTGTGTTGATTCATTTTTCGCTGACTCTTTTGCTCACTTGGATTTATTTCCCACTCGGGTGAATAAAATGTATACAAACGAAATATTAATCTTGCGCTTCCCTCTAGAGGATAATAATATTACGAATAATGGAGTAATTTTTTTGCACCACCTCCCAAAAGAGTATATATTGCAAAATAATAAAACGGATTTTATTCATTGTCAGAAGCTTTAAAATTTAATCTATTTTTTTTAACGCTGGATTTGATGCTAAAACTGAAATTGTTTTCTCACACTTTTGGTTTTTAAAAGTTCTGGAATAAATAAAAGTTACAAAACCAACGAGGTACAAAAATTTCATTATCAAATTTGGCTTGAAATTATAAAACCATTGAATTGTTCTTAATATTGAACTTTTAGAAACAAATTTGAATTCTAATTCAAAATTTTCAATCATTATATCCATTTATAGAACTTCTTTTTCTTAAATATTTTCTAAACAGTTTTTTCTTTACTGCAAATTTTATTAAATTTACTGAGCAAGGAGAACATAGAAATAATTTAAGAATTATTAAAATTTATAAATATGTCATCCTCCAATGACTTCAATCTTGCTTTTTTATAAGGAAAAATTACGAATTTACATTTTTGTCATCTCCAGGGCATTTCCTTACTTGGCTTATTTCTTTTACACATTTTCCTTACAGAAGCAAAAATATCTCCCGCAACAATAAATCGGCTTACGCTGCGACGTATCGAGTTATGCAACTGGCACGACAGAAGGGTCGACCCGGTTGCATAAGTAGTCTCAAGGAGATTTTTTTTTCTCCCACGCTCACGCGACCGAACACTATTATATACGAAGTTGCCATAGTCGCACAGATAACGCCTTCCGCAGCAGGTGACGCGCGAACAGACCCAATCTCAATAAAATTTGTGTCGAACGCACCTGCTCCGCCGCGAATTCCGGGATGTCAAGAAGTATCAGCAACTTAATTTCCCACCCGCCGGGGTGCCGAGCCTACGTTTGCCAAACTTTGGGAGAAAAATGTGGCTTTGCCGTCCGAAATAAGTGTAAAAGGATGGATGATTATTTTCACAATTTTTTGTCTGTTTTGTATATTTTTAGGTAAAATATTTCTGAATATAAATTGTTTTAATTTAAATTTAGAAAAAAAAAACTAGGAAAAAAAAGGGTGAAAAATCTCATAATTCTTGAAAATGATTTGCGATTTTCTCAAATGGATGAAATTAATAATTAAATATTATAAGGACATTTCAGATCCTTAATTTTATCTCATTAAAACTATTTCCGAGCTGAAATTGTTTATTTTTTCTGGCAGTTTTTGAGGAGAAAAATAAATTGAACCAACCATTTCCGGAACTGTTTCAGGCGCATAACAAATTGGTGGCGGACTTGGACGACCTGAAGGTGGAAGTGGTCGAAACGCAGAGTTTCGCGAGGGACCCTGCAGAGGCGGTGGCCAAACTGCGCGCCAAAGATGTGAGAATCGTGCTGGGAAATTTCAACGAGACCTGGGCGAGGCGGGTTTTGTGCGAAGCGTTGAAGCAGGGCATGATTGGGAGGAAACACCAGTGGCTCCTGATGGGCACCTACAGGTACATTCTTTCATTTGATATTAAAAAAAAATCATGACCGAAGAAAAACGATTTAGTTTTCGCACGTTTTATTTTTATTGCTAATTATATAAAATTTATAAAATTAAAATCAGAAAAAAACGGTTTTTTACTTTTAAACTTTCAAATTTAGATTTTTTTTAAACATCCACGCTTGAAACAATTATTTCGTCAGTAAAAAATTAATGTTTGATAGATGCATTCATTTCTTTAAAAAAAAATCGGTCATGTGGAAGTTAACAATGAAGAATAATTTCTTTTTTAATTAAAATAAAATTTTTTAAATTAAATAAATTATTTCCATTGAATTTTAAACTTCATATTGTTTGTTTTCATTGATTTTTTATTCACTGACTAATGGATTTGAATATTTTTATTTAGTGAGCGATGGTGGGAGGACGAGCCCAAGCTTGACCTTTTCGACGAGGTCACCGTTCGACCCGGGGAATGCACCCCTGACCAACTGCGCGATGCTCTGGAAGGTGTCATCCTGACCGATCTGCTGCCGCTCAGCACCAGCGGCGACATCACCGTGTCCGGCATTGTAAGTACAAAAATTGTCCGCATTGACCCACAATTGGGGCGCCACAATCCCGCCGAATTGTATAATTCCCATCAATTAGCTAATCTCCTGCTGGCCGCGGTCCAAAAATCGTTCGAGATAAAAACACACGCAAACAAAATTCCCTCTGGCAAATTTATGTTTTTGTTATGAAAAGAGAATTCTTAACGAGAAGAGAAATTCAAGTCTCGCATATTTCACAAAAATAATTGTCCACTGGACTTCAAAGGGCACACCTACCTTCATATACTGGTATTTTTTTTTATTCCTTGTGTCTGTGGAAATCCAATTTCGAGATAACCTTCTCTTTGTTCTTTTCCAAACGCTTTAGGCACACACCTGTGGCCCGTTTTGAACTTTTGACCTTTCGCGGTGCTTCCGAACTTTTGCCGGCATTGCTTTAAACAAACACGACTAATTAGTTGTAATTATACCGTGTTTTTGCTGGGAGACGAATACAACTTCTTGCAACAAGACGTGTAACTATGAAACTTCTTGTTTTTTGTCTGCACAGTTGCAAAGAAATTTCATTAAAAGAAATTATGATTGTAAATTATATTAATATCTGCAAAGATTATTTTTGAAAGTGAACTTTGCTGAAATTTTAGTACTATCTGAAGAAATCATCATTAATCATCAAGATATTACATTAAATTGATTTTTTTATCTCTTCCTAAAACTGTGATTGAATTAATGAGCAAAATTTTTCCTAACGGAGATAAAATGAATATAGTTCGATATTGTATATGCGTCCTTTTCAATTGCAAGTTATAAAACATATGAAAAGCAGGTTTTTCCGCACCTCTCGTACAACGGCTCAAACTAGCTGGATTTCTCGCGTAATTGAAACGGACTGGGAGGATAAATGTCGTAATTAAAAACTCGAGTGAGCTGCTCTATGATTAATTAAAGGGATAAAAAGAAGTTTTTTGCCTGCGTATCTCGTTAAAAGTGCGCATCAAAAGTTCTCTCGACTATAAAATATAAAATATACCTGCGTCAGGCAGACAGTCTGTTCATTTCTCTCGTCACAAACTTTTTTATAAATTATTTTATCGCCAGCATTTGCAAGCGTCGTTCCATTTTCCTTCCACCGCCGTGATTTTTAAAATTGTCTCCCGTAATGAATGGTTTCGCTTTCCCTTCAAAAATAATTTTCATCCAGTGTATAAAATTCCATTTCTCAATCTTACGCTTTCATTTAGAAAATCCCCGTGGAATTTACTGGGAGTGGAATGCAAATCGAGCCTCAAAGGGAAAAGACCGCTCAAATATTCAAAATTGAAAGTTTGCGCCTCAAAGAGCTTCCCGGAGCGCATAAATGTTAATTTGATTTCTCTCTGACGTTTCCTTTCCAACTAAGTATGGCGTTCTCTCGGGAATTATTGCTGTTTTTTTCCGCTTGGTTTGCAATTCATTATTAAAAGACAAACATTTGCTGATGCCTCAGCATTTTTTTATAGTTCCGAAAATAATTTATAGAACCGATTTTATTTTATTATGATTAGCCCGTAATGATAACGGTAATAAATTCAAAGAAAAAATTCGCATATGGAGAAAAAAATTAACTTTTATTTAGACTAAATAGTTTATTTCAAAATTTTTTTATTAAAAGCCATAAATTTCATTAAAATCCTTTTTTAGTATAAACCACTGATCTAATGATCAAATAACTATCTATAATTTTGCTGCTAATGTATTTAAAAATATTTAGTCTGACCTGAGAGAATTTGAGGTGTAAATTTAAATATTTTATGTATCTACATTTAATCATATTTTATGGGATTAAATTTAAAATTAAATATTATCTCCAAACATATAAATAAAATATTCAAATTTTTCCTCAATTTTTACCTTTTTATTTGTTGGTCTACAATAGAAAGTCCATTATAGCTGTTAAACCCACCTCAATTTTCTTTCGGCGCATCAACCTTTTGAGTTTGTTCGATGACGACATCAAACTCTTCTCTTGAAAGTCAGTCACCCTGTCTAGTAAGGTGGAGCGCCATGATAAGTTACATCCCCTTTCTCACCGCCCAAAATGAGCAAGCACGTGTCAGAGTTGGTAAAAAGATACACACGAGCCTGCTGATTATGAAATTTCATGTTGCAAAGTGGAGTCTCTCGGAAGAAGATCATCCATCACGCGCGCCGCTGGAAAAGGTCTCGGCCGGGTCCGGACGGAAAATGGAAAACCTCCTTCGCTCCCCGAGGCGTAGACAAAACAGCTAGAAAGAAACGCGCACGCACCACACCCGTGTTGTGGCAGTAAATTTATAAAAGATGTACACGGGTTACTTTTCTAGCGGCAATTCATCATCGGCGCCGGCACCGAGATTCCTCCTCGCCGAATTAATCCAGACCCGAAACTCTGACAGCCGCGGTGCTTTCTTTTATCACGGTTGCAACGCACGTATATACACTATTATTTAATTGGTCGTTTCCTTTCTTAACTGGTGAAGATTATTTGGGCCACCCTGTACGACAGACAGCTAGACAGCTGCAAAACCCCCAGCATCTCTGGTGTGCCTTATAACGTTATTAATTTGTGCGCTTTTGACAAATGGTGCTGCGAAATTACAAATTAACGCCGGCGTCTTTTGCTACCATTTGTCATCTCGATCGTTTTCGTTGTATTCGTCGAATTTGTAATCTGCGTCAGGATCTTTGATTTCGTTAAATACGTGATAAATTATCATTTATATGTCAAGTTATAAAATTTATAATACCCTTTGGAATTTAATTTTAATTAAATGTAAGACATTGTTAAGAGGCTCAATGAATTATTCTGAAATAATTTTAACAATAATTACTTTTAGTTTTAATTTATTGCCCTGAAAGTGAAAGATGCTAGGAATGGAAAAAATGGATTTCAAACTCATAGTTTTGGATTAATTAATTAAAATTATTTAAAAAAAATGCTTGCACCCTGTGCAATAAAAACTCTACTAGCTTCAAACATTTCATAAAGTACAAAGTAAAAGAAGTGAAGCGATCAGGCTTTTCTACGTTGTAAAATTGAAAAGCAAAACAGCTCTACCAGTTTCGGTCACGGTCTGCGACCCTATTTCACGAGCAATAAAAATACAAAAAAATCAGCAAACATTTTATAAATCACATTTTAACCACAATTTTAAAACTAACAAAACTTCTGACAAAAACAAGAATGAGCTAACTAAAGATGAATTGATTGGGAGATGTGATTGGCGCGCGGCTCGAATGCCAATTTCTTCAATCAAAATAGTAAAAGAAATTAATCGTCCGTATAACAGTTGGATTTTTGCTCAGAGGATATTTCACTGCTACATTTTTTTTATATATTTTATATTTTTTCATCCCTTACGGTTGACTGCGCTGGCCTGCCGTCTCACTTTTATCGGACGTCATTCTTTCCATTCTTTGACTCTCTCCCTTTATTTTTTTCTCTTTCTTCTGCTTCGAGACTCTTCGGCTGCCGCCTGACGCGCTTGGTCTCTATTATTTTATTGTTTTGTCCAAGTCTTCGCCTTTTCCGCGCCATCGACTCGCCCGCTGCGAGCAAAACGCGTATAAAGACTTGGTGATGAAGGGTTGGCGGCGGCCACTTGAACAATCAAGTCGCCTCGAGGGTTGATCACCCCACATTGTGGCAGCGTGCCCAGTTTTGACCTCCTCTGCTGCCTACCCTGCGGAATTCTCTCACACTATAATTCCGAAGCAAGAGGCAAGGGTGCTTGCCCCCGATAAGAACTTGGGATTTGAGAAAGAGAAAAACCGCCACGGATGGTATTCCTAGATAGTATAAATCATAAGGGGATAATTTTTTTCAGAAAAATTTGGACCTAACCTTTCTGTTTGACGTTGGAAGAGCTATATTTTGTATCGCTATGTAAATAATAAATTTTTTTTAATATAAGACATAACCTATATGCAAAATCAAAATTTAACAAGAAAGTGTACAACCATATACAAAAGACAATTTAGTGGTCCCCCACGTCTTTAGACAGGACTTGATTGATATTCGTGAATTTTAAAAACTAAAACCATTGTTGAATTTAGTGGTGCCCCACGTCTTTAGTTTAGGGCTTGATTGATATTCGTGAATTTTAAAAACTAAAACCATTGTTGAATTTAGTGGTGCCCCACGTCTTTAGTTTAGGGCTTGATTGATAGTCGTGAATTTTAAAAACTAAAACCATTGTTGAATTTAGTGGTGCCCCACGTCTTTAGCTTAGGGCTTGATTGATAGTCGTGAATTTTAAAAACTAAAACCATTGGTGAATTTAGTGGTGCCCCACGCCTTTCGCTTAGGGCTTGATTGATAGTCGTGAATTTTAAAAACTATAACCATTGTTGAATTTAGTGGTGCCCCACGTCTTTAGCTTAGGGCTTGATTGATAGTCGTGAATTTTAAAAACTATAACCATTGTTGAATTTAGTGGTGCCCCACGTCTTTAGTTTAGGGCTTGATTGATAGTCGTGAATTTTAAAAACTAAAACCATTGTTGAATTTAGTGGTGCCCCACGTCTTTAGCTTAGGGCTTGATTGATAGTCGTGAATTTTAAAAACTAAAACCATTGGTGAATTTAGTGGTGCCCCACGCCTTTCGCTTAGGGCTTGATTGATAGTCGTGAATTTTAAAAACTATAACCATTGTTGAATTTAGTGGTGCCCCACGTCTTTAGCTTAGGGCTTGATTGATAGTCGTGAATTTTAAAAACTAAAACCATTGGTGAATTTAGTGGTGCCCCACGCCTTTCGCTTAGGGCTTGATTGATAGTCGTGAATTTTAAAAACTATAACCATTGTTGAATTTAGTGGTGCCCCACGTCTTTAGCTTAGGGCTTGATTGATAGTCGTGAATTTTAAAAACTAAAACCATTGGTGAATTTAGTGGTGCCCCACGCCTTTCGCTTAGGGCTTGATTGATAGTCGTGAATTTTAAAAACTATAACCATTGTTGAATTTAGTGGTGCCCCACGTCTTTAGCTTAGGGCTTGAT